GCCCACCATCCAACCCCCCTCCCCGACAAATCTCCCTTGCCCAACCAACCCACAGTCCTCGGCACCAGTGTTGTGAAAAGCGCCCCCTTCAGTGCTTAAAGCGCGAAGCGGGCAGTTGGTCGCTTTTGTGTTGTGAAGCGTAGCAGGTGATATAAAGCATGCGCTTCTGCCAAAAAAGCGAGAAGCGAGAAGTGATAGTAGCGACATAAGTATATTAAGTGGCTGCCAACGTTTAAAAAAAAAAAAAAAAACTCTTTTTTCAAAACATCATCGAGCAGCAGAGAAAACAGGCGACTAAGGTTTCCATTTTCTGCACTTTTCAAGTTCAAGTTCATCAAGTTCAAGCTCAGGTATGTGATTTCTTCTTCTTCCACTGTTTCAGTTTCAATATAGCAGTGAAATGCTGCCAATTTTTTTTTTCCTTCAGTTCTTTTTCTCTTTTTTTTCTTCTTCAGTCTTAAATTGCAGCGAGATGCTGCCCAATTTTTTTCTTACTTACTGCCAATTTCCTTCAGTTCTTCTTTTCCTTCAGTATTTGTTTTAATATATATTTTTTTTAAATTCCGCTTCACTTCAAAAAAGCTAGCGCTTTGCTTCTCGCTTCACGCTTTAAGCGAAAAGGGGCTTGTCGCTTTTCCTCGCTTCACGCTCTTCACAACACTGCTCGACACACCACCCACTCGTCTCCTGACCCTCTTCCCCTGTCCCGTCCCACCCCTATCACCCCACTCCAGCACTCCTCCCCTGCCCTCACCATTTCGTCTCCCATAGAGGTTGCCTAGACTATATATTTTCCAAATTATTTTTTTGCTAACTAACCAAATACCAGAAATAAGTAAGAAAACCACTTATTTTCCAAGAAAATATTTTTTGCAGGAAAACATTTTCCTTCATACCAAGCACACCCTTATTGTACACATCCTGTACGTCAAATTCTCCCATCAATCATCATATCAGTAAAATTTAATCATCTGTATTAAAAAGAAAAACGAGTCATGAGAAATATTTTCTTTTCTTGTCTATCGGAAACAACCTCTCTGCCCGTCCAGGGTAGGGGTAAGGCTGCGTACATCTCACCCTCCCCAGACCCCATTTGTGGGAATACACTGGGTTGTTGTTGTTGTTGTCGTCGTCGTCGTCCTTAACTAAGTAAGGTCTTGAGAAACTCAATCAGCTAAGTTCATCTCTTTTGTTGCTCAATTCTTCTCTCTTTATTCCTTTTGATTACTATGCTTCTGTTCAGCAAGTTGCATGGGTGGTTCCACTTTCGCTTCTGCTTATTCAGGTTGCTGAATTAGCTGGATTATTCAGAAAAGTCCTACCCGTTTTGCCGAAAGATTTAGTGATAAAAATTGTGTTTCAGTGTATAAGAAACTATTTACATGCTATAGTAATAATGCCGGAGTAAAGAAACCATCCTAAGTTAGTCCTTGGTGTTAATGTCCTAGCTCTTTTGAATGGCAAGTTCTGTCTGAATATTTTTTGCATAATTAAGTTCTGTCTATATATATCTATATATAATAAAAGGAGAGGCAAACGCACATTATTAAGACAAGTGGCATAACCACAAAAAGCCTAGTGGCATTGTTAAGACAAAATAAACTACCTTTTTAACTAAAAAAACTTTTTTAAATTTTGAATTAATTGGTTACTCTATTTGAATTAATAAATATAGATATCTTATAATTAGCTATATTAAAAAAACGAAAATATAAAAAAAATAACTACTCATTCAAATTGGGGAGTAGTCTTAAGTTGGAGTTTTAAAGTTATTTTAAAATAGAAAAACGAAAAATAAGAAAAAATTAAATTAGCTACAATAAAAAACGAAAATATTAATAATAAAAAAAAGCTACCTATTTAAGTTGGGGAATAGTTTCAAGTTGGAGTTTTAAAATTATTTTAAAATAAAAAACGAATATAAAGAAATAAAAAATTGCCAACTCAAATTGGGGTGTGGTTTCAATTTGGAGTTTTAAAATTATTTTAAAATAAAAAAAGGGAAATAAAGAAATAAAAAATTGCCAATTTAATTTGGGAGTAGTTTCTTTCTAAAGTAGTAGTAGTAGTAGTAGTAGTAGTAGTAGTAGTAGTAGTGTGTGTGTGTGTGTGTGTGTGTGTGTGTGTGTGTGTGTGTGTGTGTGTGTGTGTGTGTGTGTGTGTGTGTGTATATATATTTAATTTGGAAGTAAATTCTTTCTAAAGTAGTAGTAGTAGTAGTGTGTGTGTATATATATATATATATATAAAATTATATGATGCCAAGTGGTATAACCATAAGACGCCAAGTATAGATTTTTAGGACAAAGCTCCAACAAATTGGTGTTTTAAGATAATTTTAAATAAACGAAATTTAAAAAAAAAAAAATTTGCCAATTCAAATTTGAGTGTAGTTTCAAGTTGGAGTTTTAAGGCAAAATAAACTACATTTCTAACCAAAAAATCTTTTGAATTTTGAATTTTTAATTAATTGGTTACTGTATTTGAATTAAGAAATATAGATATCTTATAATTAGCTATAATAAAAAATAAAAAACAATTACCCATTCAAATTGGGGAGTAGTTTCAAGTTGGAGTTTTAAAAATATATTAAAATAAAAAAACAAATGAAAAAGTAAAATTAGCTATAATAAAAAACGGAAATATATAAATAAAAGAAATACCATTCAAAATTGGGGAGTAGTTTCAAGTTGGAGTTTTAAAATTATTTTAAAATAAAAAAACGAAAATAAAGAAATAAAAAAACTTTCAATTCAAATGAAAAATACAAAAAGTCAAGTGGCATTGTTAAGACAAAATATTTTTCAAGTGACATTCAAACTGAGGAGTAGTTTCAAGTTGGAGTTTTAAAATTATTTTAAATTAAAAAACAAAAAATAAGAACAAATTAAATTAGCTACACTAAAAAAAGAAAATATTAAAAAAAAAAAAAAATTCCTATTCAAGTTGGGGAGTAGTTTTGGTTACTCCCTTTCTAACTAAAAAAACCTTTGAATTTTAAATTTTGAATTAATTGGTTACTCTATTTAAATTAATAAATAAAGATATCTTATAATTAGGTATAATAAAAATAAGGAAAAAAAAACTACCCATTCAAATTGGGGAGTAGTTTTAAGTTGAAGTTTTACAAATATTTTTAAAAAACAAAAATAAAATAAAATTAGCTATAATAAAAAACTGAAAATATATATAATAAAAAAGGAAAAAAAAACTACGCATTCAAATTGGGGAGTAGTTTCAAGTTGGAGTTTTACAAATATTTTTTTTAAAAAAAGAAATATAAAATTAGCTTTAATAAAAAAATGAAAATATATAATAAAAATCCATTCAAATTGAGGAGTAGTTTCAAGTTGGAGTTTTAAAATTATTTTAAAATAAAAAAACAAAAATAAAAAAATAAAGAAACTTTCAATTCAAATGAAAAATACAAAAATATAGAGATACTATTAGGATATTATACATAAGATAAGCATATTATATATATATATATATATATAACAAA